TTCTGACTGTACCCAGTGCTTGTATAAACAAAACAAACAAACAAATAAAGAAATAAATAAAACATGCCTCTATTAAAAAAAAAAAAAAGAAAAAGAAAATTTAGGTGAAGTAATTTGCCTAAAGTCAATGACCAGTAAGTTCAGGTGTGCTTTTGACTCTGGAGCTCCTATTTTTTTAATCAATCCACTCTACTCCAGGATGAAGGGCAGCTCTTAATAGACTCTAAAACTATTTCTCTTAGTAACAGGCACTGTGTTAGTCTGAAACCCATTAACACCATGGTGTCTATGGACAACAAAAGCTACAATTGTTGATAGACTCTTAGAGGCTATCAGAGTTCCTGCCAATAAGGAGATGGGGTACTATTTATTACCATTAGTAACTTGGTCTGTGGCACTACCCCCAGAAACATGCGAAGAGGGCTGATTTCCCCTGAGGACCATTAGACGTCAGACAGAGGTGTCCGTGCCATATTCTGGGAACAGAGAAATGGTTGTGCGAGATGATGATGGTGAATAATTGGGTGGGTTTTAATGTGTGTGCTGGGAAAATAGTTGCAGTGCTTTATGGTTACTCTTTCTACAAATAAATACTCTCACAAACTAAAAAACTGAGAGGATCTTTGTACTCAAATGTATTCTCTCATGGTTAACAATACACTTTTAGAGAGCTGGAGAGAGTTCTCATCATAGGCAACATTATTTTCTCAGGTCCTTATGAACTTCTCTCTCCCAAGGTTTACACTGGAACAATTAGTTACATTAAGATAGGTTGAGGAACTACTTTTCAGCACTGTGAGATATGCTTCGTGCACATTATTGCTTATCCTCAACACTGCCAAGGAGACATCACCCTCATTTTATGGATAAAGCTCACAATCAGTCACCTCAAATAACTAGCCTATAGTCACACAGAAAGCAGGCTTTGTTTTAAAATCATGCATGAAATGTCCTACTAGATATAGTCAGTCGTACCTGGTCTGGATTAATTCATTAGTATTTGTGAAGACTTTTTATCTGCATGCACACAGGGTAGTTAGCTGCTGGGGTAGTGAAAGCATGATCAACTAGGATTTAGAGAGGTTCAAGGCAGTACCCAATACCCAGGGCACATCATGCCTATAGTCTTAATTTTCTTATCATGTAGATGGGGATTTAACACCTAATTACCTCAAAGGGGGTTGAATATTAACAATCTAGTTTGCCAAAGTACTTTGTTAAGGAAGAAAGCAGAGGCCCATCTTAGCAACTATTTTGGATAAAGGGTTTGTATAGTGTTACTCAAAAAGCAATGGTAGGAAGTATCAGAACCACAAGAGGTATTTAATAGTGGAGAAGCAAGGTAGGAATCACATTTAACAAGTCCCCGGATGATCCTATTGCATATAAAAGTCTGAGAAATACCAGGTTATAACAGTGCTTCTCAAACTTTAATGTGCACATGAATCATTTGGGGATGTAGTTACAGTGCAGATTGATAGTCAGTGGTACTAGATGGGTGGGTGGTGGTGGGATGGTGAGACTGAGATTTTGCATGTCTAACAAGCTCCCAGGGAAAGACAGTGTTACTTGTACATGAAAAATCACAATTGACTGGCAGGGGTAGGATGACCTATCCACACTGAAACAAATTACCTTTGCTTTGCTCCTGGACAATTTGCATTCCCCAGCTTCTTGGAATATTCCAGAAAGCCCAAGCTCTCAGTACTAGTAAAAAATCATTTGAGCTACTTGACACTAAAACATTCCCTACCATATGTAAAGTAGCAACATCCTTTTCAGGTATTGACAGCACCTATGTTCAGTACCTGAAAGAATAATCCCCCTACTTGAGCCTACTTACTATGCAAATTCCCTTTAATCTCCACCACAACCTCATGGGTAGATATTCTTGTTCCAGATAAGAATATGATGTAGAATTTAAGTAACCTGCTCACGGTCATGTGACTAGTTATGTGTTTGGGGGAGTGTTTCCAGTTCTGCTTTATCAGGATCCAAAGACTGTTTGCTCTCTGCAATTCCTTCATGGTGCCAGATATGACTGTGTTACACAACATGACAGCTTGGGGAAAAAAATGTTCTCCTGCATTATTAGTCTTTGAGTGTAGGTTCTGCTAGACAGACAGGGCAGGAATGGGGGTAAATTCAGCTAATTAGTGATTATGCTGCTTCATGGACAAAAACAAACAATAGACACCTTTGTCCACGGTTCCCATAATCTGACAATACAGATGGAATAAAAAAAAAGAGACACAGGCCAGTGCTTTGATCCTAGCTACTATCATCTACCCTCAAACTTCTAGTTTCATGGCTTAGCCAATAAAGCGGAAAAATTCTCCTTGATCCTATTTACTTCCTTGTCTTCGTATGAGGTTTCTGTAATAATTTGTTTTAGATTTATTTTTATTTATTTATACATACAAGAATGGGGGCAGAGGCCAGAGGGGCAAGTGGTAGGAGGACTGGATTCACCAGCAACAGAGTGGGGAGCAGAACAGGCAGATCTACTCAAATACACTGCTGAGGGGAGCTGCGGGAGAGACAGGAGAGTTCTGCTGTGCCATTTGGGTTAGCTCCTGGGCTGGGGATCCAACTCATGCTAACCCCTTGCATCGCAAGGGAGGCCCAGTTCCTGTAATCTTAAAAATTCACACCAACACAACTGTAACTTATGTCATTTCACATTACCACACTTCCGTCCCTCTGATAAAACTGCCTAAACCTTAAAAGAAATGTACTGATAGTCAAAAAACATGGAAAATGCAGTAATTTGAAAGGTTCTGAAAGGTTTTGAAACGCAGTAATTTGAAAGGTTTTCTTTTGAATAGCAGTATTTATATTTTTCATTAATGTGGAAATGGAGAGAAATGCATGGCAATGAAGAGGATCAGAGAAAGCAGTCAGAAAGATTCTCAAGTGTACCAAGTGGGGGGAAGCAGCTAAAAATAAACCCTCCAGGCATTTAACTTCTAGTGTCTTTAGCATTTAATGATTCATTCATAGAGTCTCCAGGGTCAGCTATTTCTTTAACCTCCAGGCACTCCACTTTTGTATGTAGTGCTCAATTGTTTAAGTGTTGTTTCCTAAAGATTTATCTTTAACAACAGTACAACTATTTACCAATATAATGCAAAAAAAAAAAATACAACTGGAAATCCCTATCTTCTGTAATTATATATAAGACAGCCTAAAACCAAACAGTGGTATTTGAACTATTAAAGATTATAAACTAACTTTGTCACTCTGGTATTCGTCATACATGATTTTTCAAAAATGAAAACTGAAACCTAAAAAGAAACTGTTATGAAAATCCACTTAAAAGTATTTTGAGAGAAAGAGAGCGCGCGAATCAAACAGCAGGTAAGAAACTGAACTGAATCTATAACATTGATTTCAAACTAATAGGCATTTCCTATTTCACTCCCCAACCCCACGCAGCCCACTCAGAAGACCTAAAGCAGTGCTTCACAGAAACCAATGTGAGATTCTTCTGGAGATACTTAACTGAAATGTTTGGACAGGAACATGTTTGCAATGAGTCATAATTTATAGACCTAATGACCACTGCCTTAATGTGCCTTTCTCCCTACACTCATTACCCTGCTCAAGCCAGCTAATGAGATATTTTCCAAGCCCTGAAAATTTTTATCAAGTTATCAGACCTCAGTTAATAAGGATGCCACCCAGCACCCTTTCTGATGCTAATTTTTTATGCCATCTAAAGGGAAGAGAACCTGATTCCCTTTTCTAAACTGTAACTCTCTCGAACCTGGCGATTAATGCTTTTTGCCAGCGAAAGGGCGCAGGACCTTTAAGTCCCCCAATGAGAAACCGAGGGGTCTAGAGGCACTCCATGTAAAACGACAGTGGGAGAGGTTAATGGGGAGCCGCTCCCGGCAAGGGCAGACGTAACAACAGGATATGTTCATTCCTAGAGGAAGCAGGAGCTGCAGTGGCCCTAGTGCAGGAAAGGCGGAGTCAGCAGCACCCAAAGGAAACGAGCGCGCCAGGATTTCGGGGATCTGGCAGCTGGGGGACTCTTACTCTAGTCGGGTTCGAGGCTGTTGAGCACCTCGCCCTTTGTGGACCAAACTCAGGCCTCCTGGCACTAGTGGTTATAACGAGGTACCCATCTGCTCCCCGCCACCTCCGCTAAAGATGACCCATTTGGCGAAGAGCAAAAGCAAACACCAGGCGCCCCGGCAGGTGAATTTGTCAACAAGTCGGCCCTGGTCACAAGTCCCTGCCCAGAAGGACGGTCCAGCTCCGGGGGTCGGAGCCGCCGGGCCGGCGAGGCACGGCGTGGGTGGGGTGCACTGGCGCCGATGGGGGTGCGCCAGCGCGGGGCCGGAGATGGGGCCCTCGCCGGGAACGCGTCGCTCCCGCTCCCCCGGGGCTGACGCACGCTCTCCCGGCGCGCGCATCCTCTGCCCTTCCCAGGCCCGAGAGGTGATCCGGGGAGGGGAAGGGGCTGAGGCGGCTCTCGCACCTTTGGGGCAGCCGAGGCGACCGCGAGTCGCCCGCTGCCCGCGAAGGGCGCAGGAGGCCGCCCCAGGCGGGCGCCCCCGACCGTCCCGGCTGCCGGCGTCTCCCGCTGCCGCATGCAGCCCGCCCGGCGCGCCCCCGCCCCGGCCCCGGAGGGCAGGTACCTCGGAGCCCCGGCCCCCAGGAGCCTCGCGGCCGCGGTCCGAGCGTCCCTCCAGCTCCTTCATCCGACGTCAGCGTCAGCAGAAGGCGAGGGAAGGGGGCGGGGAGCACAGGAGCCGGCCCTTCCTGCGGCGGCCGCCACCAGCCGGAATAGCAGCCGGCGGAGCCCGTGCGCGCCGCAGCGCAGCGCAGCAGCCGGGGGGAGCCGGGCCCTCGCCGCTCCGCGAGTCCCGCGCCCCGGGCGCCGCCGCCGGCGCCCACACCTCTACTCCCTCCGGTCCCGAGACGCCCGGCGGGGTGACCCTCCCAGCTAGTCCCCGGCACTCCTAAGAGGGAGGGGGCGAAGGCCTCACCTCCTTTGGGGCGGGTCCGGGATGGGGGGAGTGAGTCTCCCTCTCTCTACTCTCTGGGGTCTTTCCTCGACCCCCATCTCCTGGGGTATCCCCCCCAGCGCGGATCTGCTGCCCAGGGTGACCCCGCCCCTCCTCTCCCGCAGGTGTTCCACGTGTCCATAGCGTTTGCGTCACAATGACCTGGCTGACAGGTGGGAGCAGCAGCGAACGCCCCAGGGGTTCCCTTTGAGCTGTGCAGGGCGCTTGTTTCCACCTTAGATTTCTGTAGCTTTGGAGAACTGCAGACTTCACGACTTCAATGCCCAGAGAAGTTACAAAGAGCAATATTCTGTAGCTAGAAATCCACTTTGGATTTAAAGGAAAAAGGCTGCATTAAAAACAAACCAAAAAACCACGCAGTGTATGTGTACACCTTTCATTTTCATGTATTTATGTATCTTTTGAACTCGTTATTGACATTTATACTAATTTCATCATCTCTTATCCTTTGTCACCAGGAAAGATCCAAACTCTTGTTTCTAGAGTACCCCGTAATGATCACAGAAAGAAAAAGTGTTGGAATAAGTGCTACATAAAATAATCTTATGCTGAAGAGGCAGTGCCCATACACTGTGATTCCATCCCCTCTTTAGAACATATAAAGAAGTTAACTGAAGGCATTGAAACCTGTTACTGATTGAAACAATTTGACCTAGTGGAATGAAAGCCTGTTTACAGATGCAAATAAATGAAATCCACAGATAACATGACTGGAGGGCTTGCTATGTGCCAAGCATATACTATATGCTTTGCATTTAATCCGCACAACACCCCAAGGCTGTATGTAAAATTATTATCCCTAGTTAGCAGATGAAGACCCTACCTAGTGTGCCATTAAGATCTTCAGCTAATTGGATATTAAGTAGGGCTTGAATCTACCATTTTCTGAACCAAGATATTTACCTTAATATCAAGATAGATGCCCGTCAAGATGGGTAAAGAAAAAGTATAAGAGAAAATACTGACCTCCTGATAGAAAGGTAGTAGGATACTTCAGTTTCAGATATTTATATAATTTTTAAACTTTACATCATTCTTTGGATATACCCTTTGAGAATTCTTGTGGTTGCAGATAAATTTGAACCTGTCCAAGTAAGGCACAAAATATAGAGGAGAGCAAACATCAAGTCCTCAATAAATGTTGTGAATAAACAAATAATGTAGATGGGCTACAAAATAGAAAGTTGTTGGAAAGTTGAGATTCAAGAGAAATTTGGACAGGGAAAAATTGTTCACATATATAGTTTTTGATAAGAGGCATTGAAACCTGTTATCCTTTGATAACAGAAGGAGAAAATGAAAAGACAAAACCATTCAAAATCAGGGCCTCCCTGGTGGTGCAAGGGGTTAAGCACCACACTATGAAGCAATCCGTGGCCTCTGCAGCAGGAGTTGGATCCCCTGCCAGCCAGAGAGCAACCCACATGGCAAAGCCGACCTCTCCTAGCTCACCCACTGCTCCCCTCACCAGTGTATTTCAGTCTGCCTGTTCTGTTTCCCACTCTGTTTCTGGTGAATCCTCTCACACCCCGCATCTCTGGCCTATACCCCAGCTCTTGTATGCATAAATAAATATTTTAAAAATATTCATAATCAGAGTTGATGCTAAGAATCTTTAGCTTATTGTGGAATAACCTGTAATTGGGAATCAAAAAAGAAAAAGATTATTTTTTAACATAGTGTAGTGCTATTTCTAATATAGTTACTCAATAATGGTTAGCTGGATACATCGGTTGATAGAAACATTGAGAGAAATAGGACACGAAATTTCTTAACTACAGTGTTCTCTTTTCCACAAATAATGATTTACTAGTTACATGAAAACATATTAGAAACATTATTTATCAAAGACTGGCTTTGTGACAGGTATTCATTACAAGAGAGCCAGTGAAATGACAGGTTACTTGTGTGCTCAGGAGATTCTCTCCAAATGCTGATTGGTAGAACACAGCTTTGGGCAAAGTAAACACAAAAGCTGATTTATGGAATTATTCAGGTTTCCTTTTACCTTTCAAAGACCAAGATGAAAACCTGGGCCACAAGTATAATTACTTCTCATGGAGGCTAAAAATGGTCTCCAAGACAGTGTCTAAAAGTAAGCAGATAAACACTGGTATTATCCAGTCTACGTGGCATGGAGACTCCTTGGATTCTCAAAGAGTTTAAGATAAAACTTGAAATGACTTCTCATCATTATTTTGTCCGTTAGGATAATATTTGAGGAAGGAAATAATAGATTCACATTCACTATACATTGCTCCCACAAGTGCCTTTCCTTCCCTTTTTAAAACTTGCTCCAACAGTAACACTTCCACTTGTTTTTTGTATCAAGCTGTTGCTTTACTCTTGCCCAGTGCCCACAAATGCTAGTATGAACCTGAAAGAATTTCAAAGGAGAGAATAACTGCTGGATTATGGGACCTGAAATTAAGAAAGAAATAATGTACATTTTCTAGAATGTACAAGATGGCAAACTTCTACAGAAAAAAAAAAAAAAAAAACAGAACCCTGACATAGTCAATGATTTTTTTTTTTTTTTTTTTGGTAATTTTCTGGGTTCAAGATATGCTGGTAAGACTACATGAATTTGGAATTGTTTTAGGCTGACATTAATACAGATCCAGAATAACAGGGCATTAAATGAGGTAGAGGTTTATTTTCACTGACATTAAGGAAACTGGAAAGCAGGCAGTCCAGGGCAGGTATGAACTCCACTAAGTCATCAGGGTGTTCCCCCCTCTCTTGATGAACTTATAATTAATTTATGTTAATTAAAATTAACTTCCTTCCCTTCAAAATTAAGGCTACAGTGAAGAGAAGAGTCTTATTTTACACTGAGGTGGATCCTAGATCCACCATTCTTACAATATTATTTAAACGTAAATTCAAGCAAGGATGTGAAGAAATAGGAACCCTCCTACATGGCCACATAGAAGCATGATACTTGGCTTATGGGAATATAAAACACAGCCATTTTGGAAAAGAGTCTGACAGTTCCTCAAACCATTAATCACTGTTACAGTATGACCCAGCAATTCTACTTCTAGTTCTAGATCTAAGAGGAATGAAGACTGCGTCCAAACAAAAACTTACACATAAATGTCTATAAAAGTACTAAAAATATGGAAAAGCCCCAATTGTCCATCAGGGGATAGATAAATAAACAAAATGTAGTATATCCATAAAAGGGAAGAATATTGGGCCAGGTAATCAGTTAAATAGTGATATGTGCAGTAACTTGAGTGTACCTTGAAAATATGCTAAGTGAAAGAAACCAGTCATAAAAATACATTAATCATATGATTCCATTCATATGAAGATCTAGGGTAGGGAAATTTATGGAGACAGAAAGAGAGGTTAGTGATCATTTTGGGCTGGGAGTGGGGGAGGGAAATACACACACACACACATATCTATCAGCACATAAAAAATACATATATATTTGGATATATATTTTATTTTATTTCCCCCCCCCGCCCTCCCTGGATATATATTTAAACTACATATAAATGGACTATTGATACACATTTAATTTATTTTTTAATGTTTTGAGTATTCATCATATTCTCTGCCAATAAGAGCAAGTGAGTCAGATATAGCCTGCTCTGAGGTGAATGGGTACCAGAATGCTCTCCCATTCACCCAGAGAGATGTTTAAACTTTCCTACATCCTTGCAATCCTTTTCTGACACACTATTGACAGTATCACATCCATGTTACCTGTCCATACTGAAGTAGAACTTAAGCTATTATTATTACAATGTGGTTAATAAGAATTATACATATAATTGTCTCCAAAGGTCAGTTCATTAAAAGAAAAAAGTCAGTTTCCCTTTGCAGTTGCTAGAAGATTAATCTATTAGAATAAACTTAGAAAAGATGATATTTAAAATATTGTCTGGTATTTAATGGGGATAGAAATTAAAAGAAAGATTAGTTTTGGGGGGCAAGATTTTTTGTGTAGTACTGGAAGAGGAACTAGATGCTAAGAACATGGCTTAGGTATCTTGACCAATTTTGGTGGAATTCCTGTCATCAGATGTGCTTGCCATATAGTAAAACAAAGCTTTTGTTTTAAACTCAATAGAGCTAGTTATATCTTTAAGCAAATTTGCGCGTACATGTGAAAATAGAGCAAATGTTTAATTAATGCCATTAACTTTTGTTAATTAAAATTAACTTCTTTTCCCTTCAAAATTAAGACTACAGTGAAGAGAAGAGTGTTATTTTATTTTTTTTTTTTTTTTTTTTTTTTTTTTTGTTTATACATGCACTGGGTACAGTCAGAAGCATGGGAGGGTGAGAGAATTCACCAGAGCCAGAGCGGGGAGCAGAGCAGGCAGAAGGACCGAAGTACACTGCTGAGGGGAGCAGTGGGCGGCAGGAGAGGTCTGCGCGCCATGTGGGACCCTCCTCCCGTGGCCGGGGAGTAGCCGGGGATCGAACTGGCGCCGCAGAGGTCGCCAGCAGCTTCGCAACCCAGCGCTCAACCGCTGCGCCACCGGGGAGGCCCAGAAGAGTGTTATTTTATACTGAGGAGAAAAGTAATTATTTTTATTGCCACACAACTTAAATTTCTGCATCAATAATGCAGCTCCCTGCCACCCCCACCTTCACCCACAGGACCAACAATTTGGAACTTCTGCAGAAAAAAAGAGAAAATGTTGGTGATAGCATCAAAATGAAATATATTCATTCACTGCATATGGAGAGTTTTGTGTGTCAGCCATCTAGTATAATCTTGCTTCTGGTTGCTGAGGTTTGGGACTCTTTTTTTGTTTTTTCCAAAGATTTATTTATTTATGCATACAAGAGCTGGGGTACAGGCGAGAGATGCGGGGGTTGAGAGGATTCACCAGAGACAGAGTGGGGATCAGAACAGGCAGACTGACTGAAATACACTGCTGAGGGGAGCAGGGGCAAGACAGCAGAGGTCTGCTGTACCATGTGGGTTTCTCCCTGGCAGGGATTGATCTTGTGCTTCAGTGGCTGCAGATAGCTTCATAGGCAGTGTCTTAATCCTTTGAGCCACCAGGGAGGCCCTGGGCACTCTTTAGTACAGATTTCAAAGCCATGCCTTTGTCTTGGCCTACATAGGGCTTCTGGCCCC